TCTTTCTCACCAAGCTTCTTGCTGATGGTTTTGTAGCCCATTCCAGCCTTGTGGAGGCTTACAATCTTGTCCCTGGCATCCTTTGCAGCTCTTTGGTCTTTGGCCCTTGGTTGTGAGGTTTGAATGGAAGAAAGAGATTCTGTGGGCAGGAGTCTTTAATACACATAATGAATTGTCCTTAAGAGCACCTTTTTAAATTGACAGGACTAATCTGTTTACCATATAAGCACATAGCCAGTCTGTGGGAGCCATAATTATTGTTGGTTGGTAAGAGATCAAATACTTATTGAACTGCAACTCAATTTAAAACATTTGTATCATGTGTTTTTTCTGGATTTTTGGTTGATATTCTGTCTCTGTAATTTAAAATACACCTATGGTAAAAATTATGGACCCTTCATTTCTTTGTAAGTGGGAAAGCTTACAAAATCTGCAGGGGATCAAATAATTATTTTCCCCACTGTAGGTAAAGGACCCAAACTTGCATACCCACAGGACATATAAGCAGCCATGTCAACAGTTTACATAGGTGGGAGTGGATAAGTTACTAAAGAAGTTGAGAATCTTCAATCAAAACATTTTATGAGTTTTCACTTAAATTATCCAATCACGGGAAAAGTATCTGCATATGATTGGGCAGTGAACTGAAATATGCTTTTCACATGATTTGATAACTGAAGTGAATATTCATATATTTTCTGTGAATCTGTATAATTTGTCTCCAACAATTAAAATTTGTATAGTCTATGCAGCAGGTTGTTTTGCCTGAATTGCTCAGTACAAATAATAATAATTATATGCAATTTATCTTTGCATGTTATAAATAATTAGCAAAATTGAGAAAACAAAAAAATTTGTATATTACATAGCGATCTTGTGGCATAACTTATTTTTTATATTGCTTACGGTACAGCAGTGATTTTCCATTTTCACAGAGAAAATACATCACTGAACAAATGTTAGCTTTCAGGTTTAACACAAGACACATTTCCCTTATCACTTGTTTTTTTTTTTTATGTCCAAATGGCTTTTGATGCAGAAGCACAATTTGGTTAATCCATTTACACTAGATACACGGCTCTATGGAATCTAAGCTCTTTGATAGCAATCAGTCTGCCTTGGCAGAACAAAATAGTACAATTACTGCAATTAAGTAAAAGTATATTATAATTAAAGTGCACCTATCACTGAAATAGCCCACAAGGAAGTTTCTGCAGGAGGACCAAATGGGAACCTTGTCCCTGTCAGGAGCTTCGTGCCCCGGGGGATCGGGTGAACGGTCCAACCCTTTCGGGGGTAGGACAAACACACCCCTAAGTGCACGTTTTTCGTGTGTGTGTTTTCTGCACTTGCACTTTTTTGCGGACACTTACGGGTTTTTACGTTATAGTTCCACGTTTGCGGACTTAAAAAAAAAAAAAAAAAAAAAAAAAAAAACAAGGAAGTTTCTGCAAATGAATTGTGAATTGTATCACATAAATTTATATTATACATATTTTGACAAAAAAAAAGCTTTCCTTCTTGTTGTATGTCAAGGCGATAACAGGGCAGCAATGGGCTCTACTAGTGGGCCTCTACAAGTGCTTTGGGCAGTTGATAAAATAGGCCACTGCTGACCATTCCTTCTGAAAATTCAAGCTCCTTGACTTTCATCCTGACCCTCTTCATGAATCATGATAGTATGCTGATATGAATCAGATTTCTAGGTTGATAGTGTGGCACTACCCTCTTTCACCTCCAAATCCTCACTGCTGTTGTCAGGAAGGATATCTTGTTGATATTTGCATCACAGTGCAATATTTGCATAATTCCATCCTGCCCCCATCCTTTCAACACACCAAACTTTAACTCCTTTGTGACCGCGTAACACATACATGAGGCACCCAAGAAGTGGGCATTAATCCTGGGTGCCACATGTATATGTTCTAGTGTTTGTGCTGGAAGTTTGCTTTCTCCTGTACTCCCAGCACGGGGAAAGGGCTGTCTGTGACAGGTTGGGGTCTTCTACTAACAATCAAGACCCAAAATAACCAGATCCCAATCACATGAGCGCTGTGATAGTCTGTATATTTCTATCACAGTGACCATTCCCCTTGTAGCCTGCCTCACTGTCCTCTGTGAAGAGGAGAAACAACAGACTACTCCTCTTGCGAGTAGGAAAAGATACATTGTGTCTACTCCTTGCTAGAGACGTCTGTAAAAAAACTAAAAAATAAAAAAGTCTGTTGTAAAAAAAAATAAAGATGAACTAGTTCAGGACTTGATCTAGTTTAATAAGTGTTATTGTTAGCATACAGTAGATGTAAGTTTTAATGTCAGTGTAGGTTTCAGTTAGTGGCTGTTTAATTGTCAGTTAGTGGCAGTATCAGTCACTTTTAGGTGATCTCTGAAAACCTGTCTCTTCAGGGAAGCCTATCCTGCCTCCAGCTAATAACCAAATCTTCGATTTCTCCTATCAGTTCATCTCCCACAGCCCACAGTTATTACCTTTTTTTACCACCAGCCCCCCCCCCCCTTAGATTGTAAGCTCCAAGGAGCAGGGCCCCCCTAACCCTCATGTGTTGAACTGTATTGTTGCTGTATTGTCTCCCGTTATATTGTAAAACTCCCTCCTTGCCGGCCTACCCCAACACAGGCTATCCCCGCTTCAGTCTATCCTGAATTCTGCGGCCAGACTCATCCACCTTACCAACCGCTTCGTATCTGCCAGCCCCCTCTGCCAATCCCTCCACTGGCTTCTGATTGGCCAACGCATAAAATTCAAAATATTAACATTGACGTACAAAGCTATTCATAACACTGCCCCAAACTACGTCACCGACCTGATATCCATCTACCACACAAAACGCAATCTCCGCGCCTCACAAGACCTCCTACTCTCCAGTTCCCTGGTCTCCTCCTCCCATGCCCGTCTCCAGGACTTCTCCAGGGCTTCCCCCATCCTCTGGAACTCACTACCCCAATCCATCAGACTGTCACTTACCCTCCTATGTTTAGGCGCACCCTGAAAACCCACCTCTTCAGAGAAGCCTACCCCACCCTCACCTAATTGCTGATCTCCTCCGCTCTTACCACCACTCCATCCCCCACAGCTATTTCCTCTCCCCTCCCTCCTAGATTGTAAGCTCCAAGGAGCAGGGCCCTCGAACCCCTCTTGTGTTGTATTGTATTGTTACTGTATTATCTCCCATTATAATGTACAGCGCTGAGCAAACTGTTGGCGCTATATAAATACTGTATAATAATAATAATATTAATAATAAATAAAGCGCTGAGCAAACTGTTGGCGCTATATAAATCCTGTATTATGATAATAATGCTGTCAGTGTAAATGTCATTTAGTGGCAGTTTAAGTGTCAGTGTAAAGTGTGTTAGTTAATTTCAAGACCAGGTAGTGTCATTGCCAGTTAGTGGCAGTGTCAGTTAGTGGCAGTGTTAGTGGCAGAAAGTTTTTGGTAAGAAAAAAAGTTTTCATATTTAGTGTCTGTGCGAATCAGTAATGTCAGTGTCAATGGGTATAGGTAGGGTCAAAAAAACAAAATAAGTACTATTGTTATTTGGTCCTGCTACGGATACAAGCAAATAACGCACACCTATGTGGTATCACATATAAGGCAAACGTTTTTTCTTTTTATTATTTTTTTTTTTACTATTTTAAGCCAGTTTTTCTTTCATAATTAAAAAAATAGAAGATACCCATTAACATTTACCTACTAAATGAGAGCCCAATCTGTCCAGAAAAAAACAAGGTATAATCCACGTAGATACACTAAATGGTTGCAATGATATGTACAGTTATACTAACACTAAGCTGCAAAATTGGGTCTGGGCATTATGGTTAGTTTTACCCTTGTCATGAGGGGTGAACATTACCCCACCTCTCTTCAAGCTGCCTCATCGCACACTCCCATTGAAAAAAAACTACAATTTGGTTCCCTATATAGTTACATAGTTAGTCTGGCTGAAAAAAGACAAAAGTTCATACAGTTCAACCATAAAAAAAAGTTATAATCCTATACCCACAGTTGATCCAGAGCCAAAAAAACCCAGCAAAGCATGATCCAATTTGCTACTGCAGGGAAAAAAATCCTTCCTAATCCCCCGAGAGGCAATCTGATATTGCCTGGATCACCTTTACCTATAAAGGTTAGTAACCAGTTATATTTCTGTGTATCCAAAAAAGAATCCAGGCCTTTTTTAAAGCAATCCACTGAGCTGGCCAGAACCAACTCTTGAGGGAATCCATTCCACATTTTCACAGCTCTTACTGTGAAGAAACCTTTCCGTGTTTGGAGATTAAATTTCTTTTCCTCCAGACATAAAGAGTGCCCCCTTGTCCTCTGTGATAACTTCAAGGTGAATATATCTACACTGAGTTCACTATATGAACTACTGATGTATTTATACATATTGATCATATCCCCCCTTAATCTCCTCTTCTCAAGAGAGAATAAACTCAGTTCCTCTAATCTTTCCTCATAGCATATCCAAAAGAAGGAATTACATCAACGCAGCACACCCTTCCTGATTAGCAGTAGATATGGGTGCTTCAGGGTCACACTGGTACGACCACTTAAATCAAATGACGTACATGTATGTGATTTGGTGTTAACCACTTCAAATCCAAACACTTTCACTCCCTTCCAGTCCAGGCCAATTTTCAGCTTTCATTGCTATCACACTTTGAATGACAATTGCAACACTGTAACCATATGAATTTTTTAGCAATTTTTGAGAGAGATAAAACTTTATTTTGGTGGTGTTATTTAAGTGACACTGTACTACTTGTGGGGGGTGATGAAGATTTTTTTACATTTTTTTACACTGATTGCTTTGACACCCGTAAAGGCTGTAAAAGCAATCATTTCTCCTTCTCTGGCTGCATTCATGCAACCATTGAGAAATACTGTGCAAGCTATGATTGGTCACAGCTTGTCACATGGTACAAGGCTGTTGTGAATAGCCTTGTACCATGTGACCTCTGTGATCATTCACAGATTTCACAAGTAGTAAGCAATGATGTCAGGAAGTGACATCTTCTTTCGTTTGGCAGCTTTTAGAGTTCCAACCATGGCTTCAAATAAATTGGAACATTGGTCATCATTAAATAATACACCAAATTTTACTTTCAGTTTCCCATCTATGTCTCTTGTGCCAAGACGATGGATCTGCTCCACCAAGAGACTAACTTCTTGGCCAATCAGTGATCACATGAATCGGGACCTCACACAAAGGTCCCGTACAGTGATCTGTGTTCTGCTGTGTCTGGAGGATACAGCGGGCACCAATTGTGGTGCTGCGCGCTCCCACGGAGCACACACAGGCAATGGACGCAGGGGTCCCTTCAGACCGTTTATGTACATGGGCTGGATGGGAAGTGGTTAACATAAAGGAGCTATGCATGGGAAGCAAGAAAAGCTGGTTGGGCAGCTCCTTTATATTTGTGTTTCGTTCGTGCCCAGGGGCGGACTGACAACTCATGGGGCCCCCGGGCAATAGGGGATCATGGGGCCCCTGTGTCCTTGCCCACACTCAGAGCACACCCAAAAAAGCCTATAAAAGGTACCAGGGGCATTTCATGGGGCCCCCTACTGACCCCGGGCCCTCGGGCAGTGCCCGAATGCTCGAATGGTCAGTCCGCCCCTGTTTGTGCCCATCAACATGCAGAACCTTTTCAAAGAAGTCACATTTTGGGCCTTTGCTGATAACTGATATATATATATATATATATATATATATATATATATATATATATATATATAGAGGCTACCACCAGTTTTACGGAAAGTTACCTGCCTAGATTTGGTCGAGTTAGAAAATGTTATTAATACTGGTGTACGTTTGTGGCTCTCCAACAACCCCACTACACAGGCAGTTGGCACCTGTTTGTACTACCCATAGCTTTAAGATTTACAGTACCTATCATTTTGGATGGTGAAATCTGGTGGAGATCAGACTGCTTACTGCTGGAAATAAGATGTTTTAGGAAGTCTGTCCTGCAGGTGTATGGGCAGCTTTAGTATCAAACACATGAAGGACAGAAAAAAAGTAAATGAAAAGAAACCTGAGCTGTATTCCCTAGAGGCAATGAAGGAAAAGTGTGAAGGATTTTCTGCACAGGTGTAGGAAACAACATCTAGAAAGGAAGGCTTATGTGTTACATGAGATTATCTATTAACATGCACTGGCTACTCTCTGTTTTTTTTTCAGATTGTGTTTAATGCAGTATGGATAAGCTAGTCTTTATATTAAAAGGATTCAGACCCCGACACTGTAATTTTAGATTCTGCAGAGCATATGAATAACCCTCATAATAAGAAAAAGTGTCTACACAATGAACACAACTAAAGCTATTACACTAGTGAGATCAATATTCTCTTTGTCCTTCACCGAATTTTCTTCTGTTCTTAAGCAATGTAATTGGATTATTATGCATGATTCTAGTTCTATCAATTTCAGAGGGCTTAGCATAGTGTTTTATGTATTGAATAGAGACCAGGTTAAATTGCTGCTTATTTTTAACATCACAGGATGGGGAAATATCATATGCTATGTGTTTGCTATTTTTTTTTTTTATTTAAAAGCATGAGAATAGATGACTTATAAGTCATTTGCTCCATTCTTCCTGAAATGAATATATTAAAAGTTACTAATTTTGTTGGTTTCCTACATTTTACTCTTTATTCTAGTCAATGATGGAAATTTCTTGTATTTTATTCTCCAAGATATTCATTATTAAATAAGATACAGCATTAAAGCCATTGCGTTTTTCAGTTTAAAATATCTAAATGCAATTCCAGGTGCATCAGAACAAAAGGTACACAAAGACTTACAGTTTGTTTTCTTTAGAAAGTAGCCACTGCTGATTCAGGGCTAGAGCTCTCCAATCAGCAGGGAGCATCAGCTTTTCTGATTGCAGAATTAAAGATCTTTAGTTTTGATGCACCTAAAATATATTTAGTTTGCAGTCACCTGAAAGTTAAGTTTGGCTTTAAAAAGGAGTTCTAGCAAGAAATCATATGTATAAAGGGTTTAGATCAAGACTGCACTTTAGTGATATGTTCCTTATCTCAATATTATCACAGACTCTTCTATCAAAGTATAACCTAATACTGCTACTGGGCGGCAGGGGTGCGCAAAATCACATATATATATACATACGTGATTTTGCATTTCCGAGTAGGGCGCAAGATGCGCTCGCCCTACCCACATCGCCATTGGTGGCCTCAGCTGTCAATCAGCGGGTCCCACCCGGTGATTCCCCACCAGCCATCGGCGACCACAGTATATCATGGAAAGGGGAAAGACCTGTATGTAAACAATACAGATCTCTTCCCTGTCAGTTCCTGTACACTGCTTTGTATGGCTCTGCATAGCAGAGCCATACAAAGCAGTGTGCTTACAGTGTAAAGCATACACACAGCACACAGTTAACCTTTTGATCGCCCCAGATGTTATCTCCTTCCTGCCCAATGTCATTAGTACAGTGTCAGTGCTTTTTAATAGCACTGATCACTGTATTGGTGTCACCGGGGATGTCAGTGACAGTTAGTCAGTTCCCCCCATGTCATAATGCGCACCGCAGTCCCGCTATAAGTCACTGATCGCCGCCATTACTAGTATAAAAAAGAAAAAGAAATTCCAGTATATATACTAGCATTTGTAGTTGCTATAACTTTCACGTATTGGGATTTTTTTTTAGCAAAGACATTGTGTATAGCAGAATATATTTTGGCCTAAATTTATAACGAAATTTGATGTTTTAAATTTTTTTATTGGACATGTTTAATAGCAAAAAGTTAAAAATATTGTTTATTTCTCAAAATTGGCGGTATTTTTTTACTATAGCACAAAAAATAACAACGCACAGGCACTCAAATACCACCAAAAGAAAGCTCTGTGGGGGAAAAAAAGGACATAAATTTCATTTGAATGCAGCGTTGCATGACCGCGTAATTGTCAGTTAAAGTAAAGCAGCGCTGTATTGAAAAAAAATGGCCTGGTCAGGAAAGGGGGGTAGATCCTCTGGAGAGCAAGTGGTTAATAATATTCACACAGTGAGAAATCCTTGTATTAATCATGAAGACTTCTTTATGAAATAATTATGGCAACATAGTGAAATGCAGTCTGTTGCTGCCTCGAAACTGACTTACATGACTTCTCAACACATTTATATATAGATTAAACATAGAAACAACTTTTAAAAAGCATTATATGATGTATACATTAATACAATTCTAATCAATCATGTTTGCGTATATACAACTATAATGCTTCAATTCCAGATAGCACAAAGGTCACTAGTAAATGTACACAAAATATTACATAGTTACATATTTAGTCCGGCTCAAAAAAGACTAAACTCCATCCAGGTCAATGAAAAAAAAAAAGTTATAATCATACACCGCTGTACACAGTTGATCTAGAGCAGTGTTTCTCAACTCCAGTCCTCATGGACCCCCAACAGGTCATGTTTTCAGGATTTCCCTCAGATGAAACAGCTGTGGTAATTACTAAGGCAGTGAAACTGATCAAATCACCTGTGCAAAATAATGGAAATCCTGAAAACATGACCTGTTGGGGGTCCATGAGGACTGGAATTGAGAAACACTGATCTAGAGGAAGGCAAAAAAAAACTATTGAAAAATAACTACAATTTGGTTCCCTATATAGTTTCATTGTTACATAGTCTGGCTGAAAAAAGACAAAAGTCCATCCAGTTCAGCCATAAAAAAAAAAGTTATTATCCTACACTGTTGTACACAGTTGATCCAGACGAAGCCAAAAATACCCAGCAAAGTATGATCCAATTTGCTCGTGCTGGGGAAAAAGTTCCTTCCTGATCCTCCGAGAAGCAATCGGATATTCCCTGGATCAATTTTACCTATAAATGTTAGTAACCAGTTATATTCTGTGTATCCAAGAAAGAATCCAGGTCTTTTTTTAAAGCATTGGGTTACATTAAAAGGAATGAATTGTAGTAAATATTATTCTTAGATAAACATCCAATAGTATCCAAAATACATTGAGTAGGTTGGTATGGGTCTGTGTGTAAAGGTGCAATAAACCATCCTAAAGGTTGAGTCCACCTTTTAGAGAATAAAATTGGTAGTTTGGAGATGGGGGGGCTCATTTGCACTAAGTTACATTTTACACCCTAAATATGGATATAACATGGTATAGACGTGGCGTTAGCTCTTACAGAAAAGGGTAATGGAACATGTATTTAACTTATTAAACTTATAAACTTACGCTAGTAAGATAAGAAAAAAATCTACTTGCAAAAAAGTGTTTTCTTGTTTTATACAGAGGGAACTTTGTTGTTTTTGATTGAGCGGCGATTACCTGATGGAGGACCCATAAACTCCATTGATAGGTGTCAAAAAACACTTGAGAATGCTAAAAGGACTGTTGCTATTAGTTCTGTGTGACCTCAATGGAGAAAGGAGATACTAAAAGCAACAGCTGGTCAGGGGCAGAAAAAGGAACCTTAAATAAGGTGACAAATGTTGTAATTTTGCTGACTTAATGTGGGAACACAATGCAGGAAAAGAGAGGAGGATCACGCCATGAGAGTGAATGATATTTCAATACAGGGATGCCTATGAAGTATGTGTCTAGCCGAATCTAAATGATCATTTTACCTTCATATATGTTCTCTGTAAACTGACTGGGCACATAATTTTCTCTTTTCAGTGACTTCATTTTGATAATGTTTAAATGACTTAGGCTGGGATAATTTAAACCACATCATGCCTCTTAGACTGCAGTAAAACATATCCCAACAGTGAATAAATGGTCAGGAAAAGAACAGGGCAGAAAAACTCTGAGGTTTCATTTCAATACAGCCACTCTTGTGGTAAGGCCTGCAGTCTTTTCTCCTCTGACATGCCTACAATTTGGTGTTACTTAATATGTCTCCAGTGTATAAAGCAGCACTGAGCACAAAGAACACGTCATTTCCTGTAAAAATGGTCCTAGAAAAAACATGACTTAAAAAAAAAGAATCTGTCACTTTCCACATCTGCGTCTGCCAAATAGCTCTTAAAAAAACACTCTTTAACATTATGGCCACTTTCCACACTAACAGCTGGTTAGTCACAGGTGCTGGCATACAAAACATTCAGATTCATTTCTGGGATGTGGCATTAGCAGAGTTAGGATATGTTTTATATGTTGTATTCTGAGAGTTTGTAATTTG